CGTAGGTGCTTTTCATAGAAGCACTCTTGAGTCAAGTGCCTAACCTACAAAAGAGGTCGCTGCATCGTACCTACGTTCAGTGGTGAGTTTTGATAGTCACAACACAACATCTTAAAAACTGAATGTAATTTGGCGTAGTTAATAATTATGTAGGTAATAATAACAAGTGAACAACGACTTATTCACATTGTAAATGAAAATGTATTTAATTATACCAAACTTTGACACATTATTATTATAATATACAACAAACATGCTTTTGCCCCCCCATTAGGTTAACTGTTCAAAGCATATTTGTTATATCATTCATATTCATCATATATAATATCATTATAATTAAGAGCAAATTCCACTTTCTTTGATCTAATTCCACTCATGAATGAAATACCTCGCCACTTTGTTTATTTGCTGCTTTAAATAGTGCATTGTGAGTCAATCTGCTTCTTACTTCACGTGCAAAACATGCAAGTTTATTTGGTGAACATTTCATATATTTGTAGCTGAACTTATTTATGTCAAGAAATTCCAAAAGATCTATTTTAGTGCTTGTTAAATTATCGTTCGTCTCGTCTGGTGAGTCATGGTGGATGTTCTTCTAAGATGCAACGACTATGAGTTACTGCTTACAAGCGGACGGTGACATCTTGCATATACCTTACTGGCTATAGCGCGGCGTTTATTACTTTCCTGTCATATTACGAACGTAATATTTTTTGCATATATTTGATTTGTACATACATTGTTCCATCATCACATCATATGCGAGACAAGCTTTACAGAATATACGTCAGGGATAGTGCAATTACTCGTACGCATTGGATTATGGGTTTCCTTTTCGATAATTTAGTGGCCAAATCAAATCTACCTAAATGTCGTGGCAACCACGTAAGTTCTCAGACCACATAGATTAATGCTTACTGTTAAAAATTTAAGTCGGAGCCATTGAAATAACTAAATAATAACGTTAACGTCCTCTCCTGTATAATTTGGTAAACCAAATTATACAGGAGAGAGGAGATTCTAAAGAGCAGATACGCGCCTTTTACCAATACTACATACGCACATTTGCACTATCCCCGACAATATATTAGGTGTCGATTCTAGTTAAATCATACGTACAGCATATGAAACAAAGTAGGCAACAATTTTTTAACGTTGTTACTAGTAATATCAAGTTTATTGAATATCACGATATTTTACTACCATATTCAATATTTTTTGTGAAATTATTCCACTAGTTCGTTATAATGATTAATGCAAAGATCGATGACTGACAATAATTCCTTCGATTCGAACCAGCGCTTCCAGCACATCGTGGCTTACGTCGCCCAACGAACCAGCAGACTTCACGATTTTTTCTATGTACTTATCGCAGGCCTTTGTTTTTGGTTTTTAACCAGTTTTTGTTACCAGTAATTTTTACGTCAAAAATAGTAAACAATGCGACCTTGCCTATACATGTGTAAGTATATAGGTGCGTTTTAATCAACTTGTAGTTGTACACCGAAAAAAGCAAAAGAAATGCCCCAATAAGAAAGATAGGTTTTAAGCGACGGTGCGGACGTTTCTCAAATTCTTCGATCTGGAGCCGCTATTCAACGTGATTAATGAGTGACCCCTTGGTGGGTTTAACTGTTTCCTTACTGTTTATGTTGCGGTCTTCCAATAAACGACGTTTACTAACACCGTTTAACATGAACTTACTATGTTATTCTAAAACCTTTGTTAACAAAAGGAAAAGATTTAGAGTGTTCCACAATTTCCGTTACAATAGCACAATGCATGTTTACTACATACGTTTTTTCAACATAAAAAGTAACACTACGTATCCGCAGTATATTGTAAGACGAGGCCATCATGTCGTAAAGAAAAGCCGCAACATAAGGACTCGTGCTCGGTACTGTGTCGTCGCAAAGCTTCAAATCCCGAGGCGAGTTATTGATGGGTCGTAATGAGGCTGCGACTACATCCGCTACCTACTCGCATACTTAAAGACACATCCCAAACCAAGACAATGTGTTTACTTAAATGAACTCACTTTTGAAAAAAAGACGAACATACTATGAATATAATATTTTCCGTTTCAGTCGGAGAAGAGAAACGATTTTGGTGGATTGAAGCAAATAATTTCCATTTTAATGCAATGGATTCTTGAATATGTATGTCTTTTCAGTATATTTCTGTGGCATACCGTGGCTTGGTTGTATAAAATTGAAAAAGGCAAACAATTTATTTGGCCGTCCACCCTTCTCCGCGCGCGTAGGGTGGGCCATTATTTTTTACGCGGCTTTCTTTTACCTCAATTTTCCCAGTTTATTGTCGTTTTATACAAATTTTAGGAGTCTCGATTTGGTTTTACTTTATAAATATTACCTACCTATTTAAGATACGATCTATCTGTACCTAATGTAATATCTTATGTCATATGTCGATCAAAGGAATAGCTTCTTACGTGTATGTATTTATTTCTATTTATTGATCGAAACTCTTTAACGCTTGTAATTCTTTGAAAAATTATATAAGTCCCAGGAATTTCAAACCATTTTAATGGCTTTTTGACTTCTACTAATTGTCCATCTCGAGATATTAATTTCCTCTATGGGTGGGCTTTTCCAAAAGAGCAGTTTAGCGAATTGATATTGCTTTCCCGATCGGTCGCCCGATTGCGAACGCAATTCTACCTCGGTGCAAACCGGGGTGAAAGGGGTGTAACAACTGCCACATAAGTAGTCCTTATAACATGGGCACGGCATCTTACCACCGATACAAGCAAAATAGCTGACCTTTTCCGAGGATAATATCCGTGACGTGTAACATCGAAACGCCGAATCAGCCCGACCACATACTAAATTATTTGTTGTACTTAATGGCACCACATGCAATGATTTACTTCGATAAAGATAGCATTGGTTTTCTACTTAATCGTTTTTGTCAAAAACTTAAACCGTAGTGCGCTCTTGTGATAATTAACATGCCATTTATACTGAGTAATATTCTTCAATTTTCTTATTGAACCAATATTGAATTGCAGTCAATATTGAATAGTATATTGAACTTCATTAAATGGTAATATGTGGCCATAAGTCAGCCACGTTTTCGATAGACTTTTTGACGTGAACCCATAACTGTCAATAATTTATATGAACTTGTACGTACCACCCTCTTCTCCACCCGTCGATATGAAGCTGATGTAGAGTTATATATTTACGGATACATTTTAATGTGAAATAAAGTTTACCTTTATTTCAGTGTAGAATCGACCCAGAAGAAGCTTAAGCTTCTTAGCTATCTGGGCAGTATTATTTTATTTTGAGGGTAATTTCAATGCTTTCAACGTAAAGTACGAACATAGTAATGACTAATCAAAGATCTTAACTGATTACCGCAAATACTTCGTCACATTCATGCGCTGACCGTGTAATTTGAACAAAACAATAATTTGCGCTTCGTTCGGCGGCGACATCACACTTTTATTAAACCCAGTGAAAGCTATATCGTATCCCTTACATATTACCAAAACTATGCCATAGTGTAACCAAACCTAACTATCCCGTTTGGCACTAAATTGTATCGCTGAGAATAGACACGTCGTTACGCCGTATTTTAAATGAATTAAACAAATTCTTAGTGTTCGTATTAATTATTATAACAAACAAGTGGAGTAATTTCACAAATAACATAATTGAATATCGATGTATCATGTTAGTAAAACATTGTGACATTCAATGAACTTAAAAATTCAAATAAACAAATCGAAATTTAAAACCCAAAATTATTTCGTTTCTTGCAGAATCAACAATTACTGAAATCGAATTACTTACCAATATTTAAGTTAAAACTGTTGCGAAATCGGCCGCAATTACAACCTTTAAAGCTTCAGTAAAGCATAAACTGAACACGTTTTTTATCATGTTTTCTAGCGTAAACGACGCCGACGGCTATATGGATACGTGGATATGTTGTACTAAGTGTTCTAACGTTAAAAAAATCATTCTGAATATACACATCAACACAAGAAAAAAAACGTCAAGAAAAGGAATACCAATTGCCGATATTAAATTTAAGAAAAATGCTACAAATCATGAACCCCACCCGTCTCGTGTAAATCTAGTAACATATTGGTATCATTTCTCTTAGAGAACTGTAGCATTCGCGAAGGGTTGGAGCCCCGTGAATTTTTCTTTGTTCGAACAGCGTCACGCATGACTTTTTATTATCTACTTCAATGCTCGACGCATGCGGCTGCAGATCAGGCAATTTTCTCACAAAATCAGCCCTTGCTTTCCGTGCGAAATTCAGGTTTAATGCTTATTTACCAATTTTACAGTTGTGTTTGCAATTGCAAACACGAGCACGTTCTGATTTTGTTCAGAATACTATTTCATAACTATGCAAATTTTGTCAAACTTCATTGCCCTCAATCTAAAACGAACTTAATAAAGAACTACTATGAGTGCGACAATGCAACCGCTGACAAACATATCCATTATAAATAATGAATTCCAAGAGCTCACATATAAATGGAAAGGTGACACAAACTGGGCTCTAGTACGCGTATAAATGGAAAGAGTGACAGGGCTGCGAAGTGCCCGCCAGAGCATGACTTGACGAGACGACCCATCCGTCATTAAAATACCTCGAATAAGGACGTCTCTAAGTTCCTACATCACAATATCCTATGCTTGATATTTACTTAACTACATAATATAGTAATTTACTTCTTATTATAACCATAACCGAGTTTGTCGAAGTTCTGAAAAAACCATTTAGATTTATTTAAAAAAATATATAAGTGTTTGTAAACATCAAGTAAAGACGATCTGACAGCTCGCTGCAGGACATGAATGTATTTGGAACATTGCCAGACCTTTCCATTTCGGCGCCCTTTTATCTCTACTGAAATACCAAAATAAAATATCCATTTAACATTTTCCACATGTTATGATAGTTTTAAATAAATAATAGCGTATTGTTGTTCTTAATTGCCTTTTTTATTACAGGAACTGTTTTTGCTGTCGAAGTCCACTTCGAGAACAAAGACAGCGGATTCTTCCTCAAGCACACAGCGAGATGGAATGGCGCCGGCCCTCCTCCGGAGCCTATGGGCACAGCACTACCTGGCGCTCTCCTGTCCCTGGATCGATTTACCGTCTTGCAAGGCTCCGCGCCGGCTTCAGTTCGTGCGACTTACGGGCCTTTCTCCACTAAACAGACAGTACCAGCACGATACGCTGTTCCCGATCCATTAGAACCACCACGAAGAAATGCTACGCTACAGGAATTACAGGATGCAACCGCACACCGCCTAGATGTGTCTGCTCATCTTGTTTTTCGAGAACTTCCACGCGACACACCGGTGTTACGTGTGCTTTTTCACACTGGTGGCGAAGGAGGCGCGCGTCGTGCGGCTGCCAGGCCGAGACGAGTTTGCATCACTTTGCACGCCACTCTTGGCACACGAACATTAACTGCAACGTGTGGACCAGAAGGCGAGGAAGGGGCCTGTTTGGCGGAGCTCACCATTCCAGCGCCGTGGTGGCCAGCAGATGGTAAAGGAAAGCGCCCACCGAGAACTTTACGATTGGCATACAGTGCTGCAGAAGCTAGTAGTGTAGAAAGTGGAGAGAATGCATGTGGCAGAGTATCAGTTCAACCTGCGTGGCCACTTGGCACTGTTATGCTCGCAGGAGCACGAGCCGGGTACCGTGAGGCGCGCGCCGGAGATGATGCCGCGCTTCTTTTGCCCCGAGCCCCATTATACCCACATTCAAGATTGCATCTGCCGTTTGTTGTTCGTCGAGATGCCAGCCATGCTATTGGACACCTGGTTATCAGGTGAGTACATTACATACAGAGTCAATACACAAAGAAGATGTTTTAACATAATATTAAAAATTTTAAAAGAGATTATTTACAGTAGAGATTGTAGAACTGTGTGGTGTAGTATATGTATTATTTTTATTATTCGTAACGTAATTAGAAACAACAGACATGTGGTGACATGTTAATGAATCGAGCAATCGTAAATGACATGCGGTCACCCAAGTGGAGTCGGGTCCTGAGTCTGACATAGCTTATTCCCACAACTGTCGGCCCTCCCTATTACCACACGCTTCTCGATAACGATGACGGCGGCGTCGTGACTCATTTATGCCTCTCTTTCTGTCGTATGCACATTTATATTTAGGTACTTACTACACTAGCCTGTATCGTTCAACTGCATGTGATTTGACAAATGACTACTTTGCGTGGGTAGTGATTATTCCAAGCAATTACAAGCTAGTTGCCCACAATTTAAAACGAGATGTAGAAATAAAATTGATGCGGAAAGCAGATAATGGTTCTTGAAACAGCTCGACAAGTTTTAACAACCGGCTGGAAATGAGGCAGGCGCCTGTAGAGTGCACTACCCGCTCAGAAGCTACAAACTGTGGTTGATGCCGCAGACGGATGCTCTCGGGTCCAATGCACCATTTAAAACTTTTCAAGAACTGTGTCAACTAGACTAAAATAAATATAGTAAACTTTCAAGTTTGAATAGCGTATTCCAGACTTGTACACACTAGAGAGACAAGCAATCTATTCAAACTACAGAAAATGAAACTAGTAGGTAACTTTAAAATTAGTAATTGCAAAAAAACAATTATTCAAATGTTTAAAATATTTTCCCATCAAGTAACGACAGAGAGAGGCTCTAAGGAAAAGTTAGGGCAGATGCGTGCAGCAATAGGCACATTACAACGAAACATTTATATAGTATTCTTAGTTCGAATTTCATTAAAAAAGTAAACTACTAAAAAAAACCTGTTGATCATTGGACTCTACAATACTATTTCTTTTTGCGAATATACGGTTTGCGGGATCATACAACTATACATAAATTGTTCATGTATTTTTTCATCTGCTGACGACACAAACGCCTCAAGTGAACTATTCTTAGGCTGCTAACAGATTGACTGCATGTTTGCAGATAATACAAATACAAATATCCTTTATTGCCACAATGACACTTTTTGACATAAATAACATGTTAAGCGAAAACATAAACAACCAATAAACGGTGCAAAAAAGTAAAAGGTGCAAATATTAACGAAAAAAAAAAACAATACAAAATAAGAGAGAAGAAAAAAAAATCAATAGGTTACTTTATGTATGTGTGTGTGCGTGCGCGCGCGCGTGTGTGTGTGTGCGTGTGTGATTTTTGTGTGTGAGTGTGATTTGTGTGTGTGTGTGTGTGTGTGTGTGTGTGTGTGTGTGTGAGTGCGTGTTCGCGTGCGCGCGCGTGTGTGTGTGTGAGTGTGTGTGTGTGTGTGTGTGTGTGTGTGTGTGTGTGTGTGTATTTATTACTCATATAATGAGGTACAAAAAAATACGTGAAGTTGATTACGACTTCACGCATTAACTGGAAACACGCAGTCTGTTAGCAGCCTTGTAGGTACAATATTTCCCATACCTAAGCTTGCCGGGCGGCACGTTCAACGCAGCCGAAGTTACGGGCGCGTAGGTGCAGCCAACAGTTTGCAACAGTCTGCACCCTACACAACCGTTGGCCCAGTAATTTACTTGGGATTTACTACTGTAACACAAGCTGCAATATAAAATCAAATAACACGAAGGAAATTTAGTAACGTTGCTTCATACATAGTGCACATAGTATTGTGAGTTACGTAAATCATAAATTTTATTACCCGTTTCTGTGGTAGCGGCGTGAACCTTTTTAAACTCTATCTGATTCCTTATTTGATTTATCTTACCTATTTTGTCCATCAACAAAATTTAATTTACAAACTTGAGTTCATTAAAGCTCGTAACAAAGTCAAAAGTTCCAGAAATATTTATTAATTTCTTATTATATCGTAATATCGTGTCTGATAGTGTTGAGTTGGATTCAAATATTTGTACAATCACATAAGGAAAAGAAACTTGTAGGCACTCTGTACGCCACCTGCTCACAAACTTCATCTACGTATCTGTTCCTACTTTTGAGTTATGGGCGGCAAGGCACGTGGGAATAACGTTGCATGCGCCTAAATGGAAATTTATAACCACTTTGGCTTAGCTTTTCATGTAAATTTTGTACCTAATTCCTCCTACTTTACGATGATATGCTAAAGTTCTAAAAGCAAAAGTCTGGCAAACTGTGATAAAACTGGTTAAATTAGAATAATTCTGCAAGAGCACTTCTTATTCTATGCATTTCAGTAATTACAATGGTCATAAAATCAGTTAGTTCATCTAACGTAATTTTACTTATGCCATTCTTCCATGAGCGGTGCGAAATATGCTCAACTTCAAAAATGACTGCGTATTACCTATGAAAATACCTACAGCTTCTCCAAATTATCTTACAAATAAAATAAACAAAAATATATTTTAGTAGCAGTAGAGCTTCTTGTGAAAGAGTTCGTCCAGGGAAGTACACCCATTTTTGCCGCCAAGCAGTAATATGAGCATTACTGTGTTCCGGTTTTAAAGGGTAAGGGTGCTGGTGAAATTACAGGCATATGGACTGGTCAACTTATGTCTCAGGTTGACGGGCGCAGTGGCAGTGTCCCTAAAGTCTTTGCGATTTAAAGCTCTGAGTGGTACTTACAGATACGTGTGTCGCTTACCACCAGGCCATGGCTTGTTCGTCCCGTCACTTGGCATTATAAAAAAAAATATTATTTTTCTTTAGTTAGCATATATAATATAAAGAAAATCAATTTTTTTTCATGTCCTCTTATAACAAAAATTATTTTCCCAGAATGAAGGTGAAATCAGGGTTGCGGTTAGTGAGCGTGAGTGCAGCCAATTCGCGCTGGGCAGTCACCACTGAAGTAAAAGCACGTGCCGCCACTGTTACAGCGACGCGTCTCGAACAACCGCTACGAGATGATGATGGGATCGAATCGTGAGTGCATTTTCCATTTAAAGCCCTGTTCGGGGGCCAGTGAAGAGGTTGTAAACCGCGAATGTGCCGTGACCAGGCTCACGGCTATAAAATAGAATAATCCGGTCCACATAATTTATTTCATAAGTAAAGTCGAAAGACAAAAGAAAGGCTGTAACGAGAAAAGGGTATAAAAACAGGTACAACGCAACAAAACACTCCCTACTTAAGTACTAAAAACGTGAGACGAACTTACCCCGAAAGGGCCGAGCTATACAATATTACTAGGTTAGATTGGTATTAAAATTGGCACATGATTTAGGTTGGGAACTGGTAAAAGGATCCAAATTAGACGAGCAGCACTGCTCGCTTCAGCCATTGAGCAGAGAGTGACGACGGAACAAAACAAAATGAGAATGACGAGGCAAAGGAATTAAAGAACGACTCAAATTTGAAAACAGTGGCCAGTACCCATAGAAAAGGTGATAAAAAGGTGGGATTACTATGGAAGGAGGTCACATCGTCACAAACGTACATTTCTACTTAGATTATTCTTAATATTTACATAATGATAACCACGTTATGACAGGATTTAAAGAAAATTAATTTCTCACAAATAGCCAACGAAAGAAGTAGGATTTCATAGCATAGCTCCTGTAATAGTACCTAACACAGTCCACTCCCACGGGCCAATGCAGCCCGGATTTCACAGCTTCATTTCATTACTATTTTCTTAAAGCTCACCTTCGAGACCATTCGCGTTTCACGACACCATTGTCAATAAGTGGGTTGGCTGCTCCACCAAACGAACTTCCATTCCGCTCTGGAATGCCAAACCAATAGAACGGCTCTGCAAATTACGTTATGTAATCAACTAGGGAGTATTTGTCTGGAATAAAAAACCTTGAGAACGAGTTTTATTTGTGACAAATACGTATTTGTTAGTCATAAAGAAGGATTGGTGAAAAATAAAAACACATTTTGTATTCATTGTGGGAGTAATGAACTAAAGCCACGCTCTCATTTCCGTTGTGGATTTGTTCGCAATTTCGCTCACGACTACAGCGGTGCGTTCGCGGGCTATATATGCTTACTTCCTGCAGGACAATACAAGAACTTTTATTTTAAAGGCACTTATTCATAAGTTCCTTAGAAATAGCTGCCATTTTAGTCACACCTAATGCTTGACTGCTTCCTACACAGCCAAGGAGAAGAAGATAGTGGCGCTGGTGGACCAGGCTGGGAGGAGGTCCTCACTTGGCTGGTGGAAGTTGGCGCTGAAGGAGAAAGTGATGCCGAGGGATCAGAAGGCGAGTCCGGTCGAGGAACTGCACGGTTAAGTTGGTCGACCAAGTTATCTGCCGGCGCTTCCACTACAGCCACTACTGAAGAACCTCCTCATGAACATAGAGTCAATACACGACTTGATATTGAAAAAGATGACATTCAAGCCGTGTTGCCAATTTCAAAGGTAAGGATTTCTTTAATAATTATTTTACATAATAAAGGCAATGACATTGATAAAAATTATGGACCACAATATCAGCTGTAGGCTACGCTAGTACACAGATATCATTGCAGTAGGCAGTAGTTTCATTTTAATTCGAACAATCTAGAAGTATTGTACCAATTTTCATTTTAGAATTTGCGCGCGTTCATATTGGAAATAGAGATACTTACAATGACAAACGAAGCCCACTCAATAATTCCGGCCACATTATCACAGTGTCCGAAATTAACAATTTATAGAGACCTCGATCGCGGCGATAAATTAACCGCAAGGTATTTCGATGGTAATTAATGGAACAGAGGGAGCTCCTTTTATTGCTATAACGATATCTTCATTAACTTTTAAGGGTTTTACGACTCACCCGATGCGACCTGTAGTTACCTGTGACTGCGGACCGTGAAAAAGAGAATCAAGTCCGAAAAGTGTAAAAAGAATGCATAGAAATTATGGTTTTATGAAATAACCCAGCCATTTTAAAAGGTCTTCTGTAGAATTTTTCTTTTTAACATTATTGTAATAAGGTGGTGTTAACATTTAATTGCGTACTAATGATAATGAATAAATAATGATACGATGAGGTATTACTACGGTATCCTAGGATCTAACATGATTTTGTTGGTCGTTATCATAGAAGATAGTGGGTAGAATTAGCCTGCAGTATACTTTTATATCTGGTTTATCTCGTTGTTTAATTATGTTAGACTAAAAGCAAGAGATTTGTGTGTGGCTTAGTGATATAACGAAATGAAAACATTTATGAAATGATAATGAACAACGATGTCATCGGAGAATATGCGGACACAGAGACTTTATTAAACTCATTTTAATTTGGATAACGTGCCTGAGTCAACATTGGAATTATTTTGAATGGGCCTCGCCCATACCAACACCGATTGTTGTATGGAGTATTGTGAATTACATATTGTTTGTGCTACATTTTATAATAAGTTTTATTCTTATCAAATACAACATAAAAATACGAAAGTTCAACTCCCAACGTCAATTTTGATTAAATCTAATCTAGCCTCCCTAAGTTGTTTATTGCAGTTAAAAATACAGTTTATACTCTTCAAAATAATTGCCATTTTAGAATACATTACACTATGGTACGGTACCAACCGTTCTGTGCTCTTTGTGAGTGTCACTTGGTCGAAGAATATTTGCTTACATAATATGATTATTTTTTAAATAAAAGATTATAAAGTACTGATGTACGTTATATTATAACTCCTTTCATGCTTAATTTTGTTAGACGTCCTTTCAAACCATACAACTTTACTCGGCATATGCCTATATATCATTCGTAAAATACTAACAATCTCACAGGACTATATTATAAACATCATTAACAACAACTTGTGTTCCATGACTTTTAATAATTAGTCAGATTTTACTTTCATACAAAAATAAAAATATTTAAATAGATCGCTCTTTACGGTGATAACTGTGTGCAAAACGCGGGAGTTGTCGGAGAGGACGCTTGCACGTTCGAACTTACTACCAACTAATAAGTCAGATATGATAATTAATACAAAGATCGAACACACAGAAATATTTCTTCCACCCGGTGGGACATGAACCCACGACCATGCAGCACCGTAGCATTGCTCTTAGCAACTGAGCCACAGGCCAAGCTGTCAAAAGTCTCCTATGTGTTTTTGTTATGATCTTTCTACTGGCTTTCAGCATTCGTCGACGCAAACGACATCTAGTGAGAGATTTTTGTAAAACCTTCAACTTCAAAAATTTTGCTGTATGTTCCATCTTTATATTATAATAATCATAATAAAACTAGTTGAGTTATTTCACAAAAAACCTCGATAATATAAGTGTCAGATAGTAAAAAAAACTTAAAAGCTTATTTTTGGTACATTTATCATGTTTTGTCATCTAGTTTTGTAATCTAATCCTGGAAGAATGTTTAATATTTTAAAAACAACCCTGCATACTACTTACAGGTAATATAACACTGAGTTCATGAATGGTATAGTTTGGCTACAGCCTAATTATTACACTATGGTGAAGCCATACATAGTCTTTGACATAACACTGTGGTGGGCATTATACTTATAAAATAATTAGTTTATCTCGTATTAGTATAGAGCTATTAACCGCGCCCAGGGCGGTGTAGGTCGAGGACGCCCAGAGATGCAATTAGGACAATAGTTTATGGTGAAGTCACAGAAAGTTGTATTAAAATACGTGACAACTATTTTCGCATAGAAGCAATATCGTATAATAAAATACAAATATCTTTATTTATTACATAGCGCGCACTATAAGTTTCCGGAACTGGCCACTAACAAAAACAATATTTAAAAAGTAAATACAACATTTGAAAGTAGAACTCATTGGCTGTGGAATACAGTTTGTTTCATCTGACTGTCACTTGTTTTTACATTGTGGCGTCATTTTAGAAATTGGTTGTCTACATCACCATGGATTTAACTTGTGAAAATTTTCGTAGTATGATTTTCTACGACTTTAAGTGTAATTTAACAGCTCAGCAGAGCTTCGCTCGGCTTCAAACTGCTTTTGGCGATAAAGCACCATGCAAGACGACTATTCATAACTAGTTTACATAATTCAAACGCGGTCGTGTGAATCTCGGTTACGAATTTCGTGATGGTCGCCCGTCCACTGGTGTGAACAACAAAAATATCGATGTTGTGCGCCGTATGATCAAAACAGACAGGCATGTGACATACCATGAGATTCGGGCATCTTTAGGCATAGGTATGAGTGAAATACAAATCATCGTAAAAAGCGCATCGCGTCAGTTGGTGCAATGCCATGCTTACTAGTTTCAACGAAGTGGCGTTAAATTTGGTGTGGGACATGGTAACAAGTGACGAAACATGGATTTATAGTTACGATCCCAAAACAAAGCGGCAATGGAGCATAGAGAATCGAGGTCTTTCGAGATGAGCCGAAACCAACCAAAGTGGCGCGGGTACAAAGTGCCTCTAAACGGATGATTACTTCTTTTTAACCGACTTCAAAAAAAGGATGAGGTTCTCAAATGTGTTTTTTTTTTGTATGTATGTTACACAATAACTCCGGTATTTGTGAACCGATTTTCATGATTCTTTTTTTGTTGGAAAGAGGGTACCTCCATAGTGATCCTATTTCATTTTGAAGAAAATCATCCACCTCTAAGGGTGGCTGAACACGCATGAAAATTCATTTTTATAAATAGCGCCTAAATTTTACTTAAGGAGCAATTATTTTAATGGTTGGTTTTGCTATTCACCAATTCAAGGCATTTTTCTCTCAATATACTTTGAGTAGTGAGAACCGATTTTTATTGTTTCCTGTGTCAAGTGTATAGTGGCGATATTTCTAGGAGATATTTCAATAAAACTTGGCAAATAGTTGTAATTCTACGTACTTTTGAGGTCGGTTTTTTTAGTAGTCTGTACTGAGATTATTTGAATAAAACTGGTCATGTGGCTACTGTTGCTTTGGAGAATCGTTGTACCGTGAATAGTGATTGGTACACGACCATTTGTTTGCCGGAAGTTATTGACAAACTCCGTAAAAATAACCGTAAACCGTATCATCTTGCACCACGATAATGCCAGTTCTCACACGGCCAGACAGGCAAATGAATTTTTGAAGGTGAACTACGTTAACCTTATGAACCATCCCGCGTACAGTCCCGACCTGGCATCTTGTGACTTTTATTTATTTCCAAAAATTAAGAACCAGTTTCGCGGTCAACGAATTTTATCACCTGAAGAGGCTGTCGAAGAGTATGAAAAATATGCTTCAGAGATTGTCACGGAGGAGTGGCATAAATGTTTTCAAAATTGGTTCATTCGTATGAAAAAGAGCATTAACGCTAACGAAGAATATTTTGAGAAACAATAAATTCATTTCTGACCATTTATAGTATTTTTTTTTATTCATTCCGGAAACTTATAGTGCACTTCACATATATATGATAAGGTCAACATCCAAAGTTACGCTAAGGACAGTCATTCAGAAGGCATAAATTACCAGTGGCTACCACACTAGGGAAACCCAGTATCATGGGAACTAGGTATTACAAAGAGGGTTACGATTTATTACGATTCGGCAAGTAACAACGGGTGGTGCGAATTAATTAATTAAAAGTATTACCACAAATTATTATTAAAAATTTATTAAAATATAAAACACGAGTATGCCGTGATAGGTGCAGAAACATTTTAAACCAAAGGTATAAATGTGAAATGTGATTGTGTGTGTGTGTAACCTATTATTTTTAGTAAATTTTCGGTGTCTTGGTAGAATAATTTGAGTAACCAGATGTTGAGCAGTATAATATAAAAGTCTCTTGCTACGGCAAATAGAAGGTTTTGCGGCTCCATTAACTCCACCAGAAGGACATATTAAATACGTCTGTTGAATTTCTTGCTTATATACAAAACGTTAATATTTCTTATAATTAATACAAAGATCGAACAAACAAAGAAAAAATATTTCGATCCGGCTAGGATAGAATCAGCAACCTCGCTGGGGCATACCCAACTGAGCTGCTTACTAACTTCTCTGTGACTATGGCAGCGGCTGATCGGATATCGCGTAAAACATTCTGGTACCTGTTAAGGTACGTTACTGAGTAAAGAAAAATTTTCATAGATTTCTCACAAGTGGCGCTACGGCAAAAAAGATATTAAAAACCAAAAACAAAGGTCTACAACTGGCACATAGAGAAATTCGCAAGGTCGGCTGACTCGTTCCGTAGCTCAGTTGGTTGTATGGCGAGGTCGCTAATTCGAGTTTAGCCGGATGTAAGGAATTTTTCTTTGTTTTTATTCGATCTTTGTACCAAAAAAACAACATAAATAGTGGAGTACTTACACAAAAAATATTGTTCATATATTTTTTGTGTATTTTTTGTGCAAGCGAAAACATCGTGATATTAAATAAAATAAATATTAACATTTTTTGTTACTACTAGTCTACCTACTCATATTCAGAATCTACCTAGGCAACTGTTTCAATTTAACATATCTATGTGTACATGAGATACACGACCAACGTAGTTTCTAGCTGTCCAACTATTTGCCAAACCCTGCCTACGTCTCTGTATTGTAAGACATGACTATTCTCCTCGGAGCTGCCGTACCCGGCTCCTAGTACCTCGATGATTAAAGTAATTAGGCAACAACGTGAATGATGAAGAGGAGCACTCACTGCATATTGTACGCCCCTTGTATGCCGTTAATGAGTTTAGCGATCTTGTACTGACTGACTTGTACATTATGCAGGTCGACAAGTTATCTCTCTGTGCCCATTTGTTGCCTCTATTCTTTGTCATATCATACATAAATAATTAGTTCATTAAAATAATGTGCTATAATTTCTTTGCATGAAAAACTGTTGTGAAAAATGTTAGAGAACAATTAGAAATGAATAAAATAGAAACCATTTATTACAATACCAGAAACCAAATACACAGAAAGGAAGATAAAGCAAAAATAAAATTGAAAAAAACTACGTACCAAACATATCAAATTTTAAACAGTCAAAACACAATTTGAATTACTGTCATGTGTGCGACTGTGCCGTACGCAAAAGGATCAAGGCTCAGTTAATGCCACAACCGAGATAAAAAAATAAAATAAAATAAAATAGGTTTATTTGACATGCATAAATTTCAAACAAAACAACAAAAAATTAATAAAAATAAATTCAATTAAAATAAAGATTAAATTTCAATTAAAATTTCAATTCAATTAAAATAGAGAGAAATTTGAAACATTTTAATATCGACTTTCAATTGTTTTTGTTATTCAATTTAGACAAGAAAGATGGATACTGCGAAAATTCGAGTGATTTTTGAATACGAGTTCCGACGCGGAACTAACGCGGCAGAAACAGCCCGCAATATCAATGCTGCGTTTGGAGAGGGGTCTACTAATGAACGCACCGTGCGATTTTGGTTTAAACGCTTTTGTGATGGAAATTTCGACTTAAAGAACGAGCCACGAGGAAGACCGCCCACACAGAATAACGATGAATTAAGAGAGATAGTGGAAGCCGATCCTAGTCAAACTACCCAGGAATTAGCGGCATGGTTTAACGTTACCTTACCCACAATATTGACTCACTTGCGTCAAATCAATAAAATAAAAAAATACGAAAAATGGGTGCCTCATGATTTGACTGATCTGCAGAAAGAAACGCGTGTTGAAACTTGTGTTGCCTTGTTGAACCGGTACAGAAATGAAGGAATATTGGATCGAATTGTAACATGTGATGAAAAGTGGATTCTTTATGATAACCGGAAAAGAAAAATGCAATGGCTGACCCCAGGTCAAATGCCACAACAGTGTCCTAAAGCAAAACTTACCAATAAAAAGGTAATGGTAACTGTTTGGTGGTCTCAGCATGGTGTTATTCACTATAGTTTTCTCCGATCTGGTCAAGCAATAACGGCAGATATCTATTGTGCCGAACTCCGAACCATGTTGACAAAACTAGCAGTACACTAACAGCCCCGACTCATGAATCGATCTTCACCATTATTGCTCCACGACAACGCGAGACCTCACACAGCACGAGAAACCATTTTGACCCTTCAGGAACTGCAGTTAGAAATCATTCGTCATCCTCCGTATTCACCAGACCTTGCTCCAACGGACTACCATTTTTTTCGTGATTTGGACAATTATCTACGTGACAAGAAGTTTTCTTCCCAGGAGGCAGTACAAAATGCTTTCACACAGTTTGTGCAGTCTAGATCGTCGGAGTTCTATCGCAAAGGCATTAATAACCTTCCCATTAGATGGCAGCAATGTATAGATAATAATGGCAACTATTTTGATTAAATAAATTTGTTAAAAATTTAAAAAATAAACAATTTAGATTTTCAGTACAAATCGGCAATTTCATACTTTAACCCCTATTATATACCTTGAAAAAATTAAGTTACTATTTAATTAATGTTTCATTGCTACCGAACCGAAAAGAGATTGTGGTCTTATATTTATTTATATAAGTCCACAACCCCTAAGGCCATCATCATGTCGAAGTGATTTCTATCACGATACGCTGACGAAAACGCTTTCGTGCGTTATTGGGAACATTGGAATGTCATTTTCACAAATAACGTATACAGTGGCAAAATGGGAGAATGATCGCCATTGGCAAGCTAAAAATGGCACTTAAGTAGTATACTTAAGTGACGTAATGTTAGGTATCTTCTAAATACATTGTTGAAAAACGCTGATTTCATTATTTGATTCCCGTCTAAATGCCACTAATAAATACAAAAAGGGCGTCAAAAATAACATTGAAAAAATAAAAAAGTGATGGATTTTTGTAGTTACCGTTTTTACAGATATTAATTAGTAATTATTTGCTACCTGTTTACGGCTCAATGGCGAATGCTCCATAAATAAGTAATTATGTACATTGAAAATACCAAACTTAGTTATGTCCTTGGAAACTTTATTACAATATGAAGTACCTAAATTAATAAATGAACTACTGAATGCAACATTATACATAAATTAAAACAGTATTTTCTTAAATAACTAAACCAATGATAATCTGGTTGTGGAGGCTGATCTCTGGAAAACCTCTATGTCAGGTAACCAAGTTCCATCCCCAGGCTAATGGCAAACTAAATGTCAATAATATTAATAATAATTCCGTGGTAATACACCGCTTATGAGTTCGGTACACGTTTTTTTACATTTTATTGTATATAGAGCTTTGTTTACAATTGTTATAAACGATAAGAATTAACTATAATAACACGATAAATAACATTATTATGTTTCATTCTTGTTTGTCTTTATATGAAATTTATTGCTTACATAGATGGTGAATAATCAAACAAACTAAAACTGGTTGGTTTTTGTTACACGGTTGGCAGCCTATATTTAAGTATTCTTTGCACTTATTTCTATAAAAATAAAATAATAATAATAAGATTATAATACTTCAGGAAGTTACCAGTATATGTAATGTAAGACTTTAATTACGAATATGAAAAGGGTTCATGGATGTTTGAACTAGTGCACCTTTTTGGCATAATTAATATAGGTGCTAATATAAATCTATAGGACGTATTATGGCAACGCGATTTTTATTGTTGCTTAGAACTGGGAGGTGCTGAACACAGCAGTGTTGACTGGCAGGCAGGTCTCTCAAGCCATGAAGGTTTTGATCGTCTCACAAGCAGGTCAAGTCGCTGACGTCACCTTGCAGAGCTCCTGTCATTCGGAAGATGAGAGTGTGCTCAAAGTAAGTTGATATGACAGATTTTCTATGCGGTAGGTACACTTACTTACAATAACGCTTTACGCTCGCTGGTCTGATATTTGCAATAAAGTTCACGGCCGGGACATTGATGTATAGAAAGTAACCCTCTTCAAATATAACGGTGGATGGGCCTGTCGTGGATTAAGGGCGAGAGAGAGCTAAAGAAAAGGAATTATCCGAAAATCTGACCAACTGATGGTGAATTCCAAAGGCTGTCTACAGCAAAAAACTCAACTCATCGCTTTTAAGTTCCGTACATATTTGTAGGGATAGCTAAGTATAAACTGAACCCCGGAACAGCATTTTCGCAACTCAAACCGCCACAATTTGGCAAGTCACCAAGTGTAATAATAGAAGGTAATGGACGCAATAATACACATCTGTAATTTCCAGGTCTCTTCATCATGCAGTTCAGTGTATGTGGATGGGTCCGAGATCCGCGGCTCTTCTAATGCCTCCGTGATCGTTAAGTACGGGACATACACTGGTCTGGCTCGCTTCACCGTCTGGATGCCGGAATACCCCCTTGAAATTGACGTTGACGACAACCGTCTCTCACAAATCAAAGGTATGAGCAGGCTAATGTATTTCCTGAGCCTTTTAAAGTACCTAACTTTTAGACTTTTTGTAAACTTTCTGTTTACTTCATACATTTTAATGCTGAATTTCCGGAATTTGAAGGATTTAATTTGAGGAACGAATATACATAAAGTTTAAAATTTCCGTTCATGAAATGTGTCTTGTTGAAATTGATGATAAAACAACAAGTGTTAATAGGTAAGTATTTCATAAAAGTTAACCGTTAACTTTTGAATGCCTTAACGCAAAATTTGAATACCTGTCTTCATAAAAAATTTCACTTAGGCACTAAATAACCTAATTTTTCCAGTTAAACATTCTTATTTATCATTGCTACGTACATGAACTTGCATGTCTGTATTTTTTTTTACATAATTTATGCCTCATTTTGTAGGGTGGAAAGTGTCAGATGACGCCAGCACAAAGGACAGGATGAAGCGGTCTCTATCGGCTCGGGGCTGGGGTGGCGCCAGGCCGGATGCCACCAACGCCTTAACGGATCAACGCTCTTGTCGCCTGAGATATCAGCAAAGCAATGTTGAGGTACTAAAGGGTACTTTCTTACATACCTATTCTTATTGAACTTTCCTTTTTGTACTCGAAATCAATCCATAATGCTTTAAACTTGCGGTGACTAACATTTCCTCTTACACAAAACGCACTACTACAATGCACAATAGGTACGCACTTTGTTACCCCCAACACAATAAATCTTAATGTTTCCTTCCAACATTAAATACTAACCGCTGAAAATGAGTTGTCGAAAAGTTTCCCGGAGTGTTGAGACATGCGGAAAAGCTAAAAAGTTGTGTGGATAACCCGAGCCGTCATGTCATCTGTAATGACCTAACGACCATCGACTACCAACTTATAATGAGGACCAAAGTTGCGGGCAGAGAAAAGTTGGCCGACAAAGTTGTGTAGCTTTCATTGGTATTCTCGTTTCAACACGGAAAGGTAATAAATCTGAGCGTGAAATATGAGCGCTGTTAAAAGAAATCATTCGTCGACTGTTTTCAGTTTTGTTTGCAATTGCTGTTTACGTGAAATTGAAGCCTTCTACGAAAATTGATTACTGTTATTGAATCAACGATGATTAATAACTATTTAGCTTTTTAAGATACTGAAATAACATTCAGAGTAGTGGTTTTAACAATACCAACAATAATACTACTACTTCTGTATACCTACTTGTTGTCTTGGTGCATAGATATCTGTATTGAGGGAGTCACCACACTTGTCGACACGGAATCGCATTAAGCAGGTCAGAAAAGCTTTATTGTACAGTCAAGAGCACATCAAGCTTGACACTTTGGACTTTGGACCGTTCTTATCACAAGCGGCATATAGTTGAATTTTAACCTTTAGTGTCAAGCGTGACGTGATCTTGACCCTGTACATGCAACAAGAGCGAAAAAGATATTATGAAATTCGCATCAGCTCGTAGATACGACGCGTCCCGACACGGGTCGGCAACAAATCTGTTTGCGAATTTCCGATCACGTCCGTACGCAGTCAACGACAGTTGATCGACGGCGGCTGCATCGACGCCTGAACAGTATGAGCTTGTGAACGCCACATTTCATACCCCTCGACCGAGAAGATGGCTTAACGGCGGCATCCGAACGGTCGCGTCCACGACAAATCAGCTTAACACGACAAGTGTGGTACAACATGCTCGCCTCGAGCCTTTTACTAGATTCCGCGTCGATAAGTGTTTCCCTTATTGTAAGTCGAACATTGATTATAATATTCCTCCGTACATTTTGTATCCAATGTATGTATCAACTAAATTTCAATACCTCTGAAACGTGTAGGTACAATAACGTGGGAACGTAGCTTAAGGTACTTTATAAATGACGATTAGATTATAATTATAACTTTATACGTATAATCAATTTCAAAGCTTTGTCCAGAACTCCTAGATATCTGTTTGACATCAACACTCTATTATTCTTACAATTCTAAATACAAAACCTAAGGTGCCTGTACTCCATCCCTCTTCCTCACAACTGAAGGGATGAACATCCCTAGCTAGTGCCCTACCTATGATAGGCAACATACATATGTGATCAGCGTTTATAATAGGCTAGCCACACACTGCTCGAAAGCTATCACTTACTAACAAACAAAACCACCGAGAAGGCTGTGGCTTTAATCTGTCAAAAACCTATCTAAAAGGACAGACTATGACCACCTCCTAATCAAACAATCTAAATATATTTATTAGCTATTCTAGCTATTTAGGTATCCTAGCTATAAAACCTCAATTCTTTATTCAAGCTTCCTACCTAACCTAAATCCTACCAGAATCTTTATATAATTCCAAACAAATAACAATCCTCATCGTGCACGCTGTTACGACGACATCACAGGCTTGAGTACCCATCAGGCGTCCACTGGGGAACATCAATATTGACTTCCCAGCTGCCTTAGTCCTCGTCCTGCAGCTATCCACGTTCCACCAAACTTTCTTACTTTGTTTGAACAAATTAAAATAACAGACAAATTACAACTACAATAATTATCCTAACAACAACATTTTCTAACACCAATATGATATGGCGATATATCATATGGAGGATTCCTAATAATTAAACGAATATATTTTCCCTTGAATGCAGACAGTTCCTGTTCATCTGGACGAATGACCAACAACCATGCACATACACAGGATAATATATCCATAAAATAAAAAATAAAAATTAAGTTATATTCATCCAAGTCGGTAGTCCATCTCCTCCTCCTGTCCTTTCATGTCTCCATTCGCCGGAAAATAAAAACTTCTATCAAAATAATCCTCAAGATACACCGTCGTCATGGCTCCATATGAAAAACAAACACAAAAGATTAACAAACATTTAACAATAAAATATAAACAACCTATTACCTACTAGAAACTGAAAATCATTAAACTATCGACTATAGAACCTTTTCAACCTATTCACATGCACCAGATCCTGCCTACCAGAGATCCTGTCTACCAAACTAGGAGTAGATATAGTTAACCTAACTTCCGCATATAGATAGATAGATAACACGTTTATTCAGTACAAATACAAACAGAAATATACATATATCATCATGTCTCCTGGACAACAAAGCAACTCTATCTTGTTTATCAAAATTCCGCTCCTGTTCTGACCGTGTACTTCCTATCTGCTCTTTGAGCGAACTAATCAAGGCTGCTCGTTTCCAAAAATTGTCCCGTAAATTTTCCGCAACACAACCACGTTTAAAATTACCATTTTCCGACTTATATATCTCAGGCGTAATTTTATTTTCATACGAACTACGCACTTTCGGCAAAACATATTACAAAATTTTTCTAAGGAATTACCCTTTTGACGCCATTGACCCGTCTTGCCAATTAAGTCAACTTTTTTCTTTATTTCCGATAACCGTGCAGAATGTATGCATATATTCTGAGTTCTTTACCGCCAAGTTATCAGGTCGTCTTTGATACCGGCCCGATAGAAGAGTTTTCTTTCTTTGACCCGATATCTGTCATGGACTTAGAAGAAATTTTATTCTCAATTTTAAATTTTTTTTTCAAGTTGTCAAACTTGAAATTATATTCCTTTAAAATATCCTGGCCGAGGATAAGAAATTCCTCATCACCTTGCTCAACAAGCAACCTCGATAGGTATTTATTTCCATTAATTGTCAACGACACTTTGGTGAACGCCTGCACTTTTATTGGCATTCCGCCCACTGCACGCAATGGAAAACTCGGAGTATCATCAATCTGCAAATGTAACCTTTATGCAAAACAACGAGCACTAGTATCCACCAACGCCTTGCACCTTACAATATTAATAAAAACAGATATAAAAGGTCTATCTACACTAAAACTATCAATTGTATACAAATTTCCTAAATGTTTAGCCGCGCTTTGCTCACATCGACGTTGAGGAGATCCCGACGAGGATCCACTGCTATGTGCCCGTGAATACACTTGACGTGGCGTATCCTGTTGCACGATTAGTGCCTGTGGCACTTGATATTCCGACTGTTTAGACTCGGGTCCAATTATCGGTGTAGAGTCACCCTGTGTTTGCCAACAGTGAGATTGCTCCTTATGAAAATATACTGGCAATCCAATATTTTGTCAATCCACATCGTAACCGTGATTAAATATAAGTCCTTCTACTTACTTGCATAATTGTTTTTCTCAACTCCTCTTTCGGCAAATACAAATTACTAGTCAGCATTCATTGAAAACTGGGTATCAAAGACTTCAAGAAATGTCTAATAAACTGAACATCTCATCATCATGAATCTTCGCTTTCGTCGCTAACTTATCTAAACTATAAAAATAACTTTGTTAGGCCCCTGTCGCCTGTAATAAAACTCTCGGGCATAGTCTATTTGCAAGGGAAATTCCTCCTTAAGCTTTTGTGCAATTATACCATACGTCGCGTATGACGCAAGATACGTTTCGTACCATTGTAGAGCTGGCCCCTCCAAATACAATGCTAACACGTATCTCTTCTGCCCATCTGACCAATTATTCAATACGCTGATCGTCTCAAACTGATTTATAAATTCGTCAACGTCATTCAACCCCGTAAATTTTTGCGCCGCCATACGATGCATAAACTTTCTTACTCTTTTCACTTGCACAAGAAATAAAACAATAAAATAACTAATATAAATCAAAATTACGACCTTATATATGTTTTCCATTTCCTCTCTTGAGAGATTTTTCGCAAAATCATATAAAATTTGTCCACATTGGAATTTCCACGTAAGGCGATCGTACACTTGTAAGGCGATCTCCACCACTTAAAGCATGGGAACGTAGCTTGGGCTTGCGTAGCGAGAGTTACTTTATAAATATAAACAACGATTATATCATAATTATAACTTTATACGTATATACAATTTCAAAGCTTTGTCCTTTATGTGGTCTGTGCATTGTCCAGAACTCCTAGATGTCTGTTTGATATCAACACTCTATTATTCTTACAATTGTAAATAGAAAACCTAAACTGCCTGTACTACAGTACCTACTCTTTGAATAAATGTCTAACATTAATTGGCTCAATTATCTTCAGATCAAATTATTGACCTCGAACGTACTAAATTTGTCAGGATTCGTTAAGATACACCCGCCATTCTGACTCTCACATACATACCTCGATAAACATTACTAATTAGAATTGAAACTCAAAGAGAAGAAGGTTAAGAAATACTTTATACTCTTATTGTGTTTATGTTGTGTTGTACTTTTGACAGGTTTACGCCCGTTTCTTGGCCAAAGATCATGACTCAGGGCGCGTATCATACTTCGTCTCTAGAAGAACTTGGCTCAAAGTAACTGAGCTAGTACTATCGCTAATGCGTGTGTCCGACCCTCGAATCGCTTCGCTGCGCGGACGAGTGCTCCAAGGCAGAACCACCGGTAGAACTGAAGTACAAGTCTTGTCTCCTATAACCGGTAAGCAATATAATGTATTAAAGGCCACCTTTATTTGCACAACAGATTATCTCGGATCAGCAAGAAATCTTCGGCGCTTTTACGAAAAGGACCTAAAAATCCTCTGCCCAAATAGGTAAACTTGTAATCGCTCAAGATTGCTCTCTTGTACCTTAACGTACACGTAAAACTCATAATATATTTCAAAAACTCTCATTTTCATAATTCGTTTCTCGGTTTTAGATTAATTTCCCTATTTATTTAAGAAAAGCATCAATTAATTGTTGACTGATCTGTGGTAAGCTATTTAATCTGACAAATGCTTGCTAAAGTCTTTAATGTCCAACATTGTTTGAAACGCCCCGTCAAAGTAGATTCTTGATAATATACATAATAATTTGCTGCCTCCGTGGCCGAAAGGTTACCATGTCGGACTGCCACGCAGAGGTACCAGGTTCGATTCCCGGGCTGAGAGAAATATTTGTATGGCTACCGCATTTATTTCTCTCGTGAGTTTGAGTGTAATTTGTGGATGTCTATGAGTGCGCCCATGGCACCCGCGACACAGGGTTTCCCTAGTGCGGGGCTATATTGAGTGTGTGCGTTATTATTATTATATTAATAAATCAAATGTGATCAAAACATATTTTTCTTGTTATCTTTAGGTCGGGTGATCGGGCTTCGGGAGGTTCGTGTGGTGAACGACAAAGTGTCAATTTCCCGTTTGTTGGTGCGCGTCATCTCTGGTCTGCAGTTGAATATTTCTCCTGACTCAGCAATTGAGAATGGATACGTGTCCGAAACCACTGTCACCAGACGACTTACGGCGCAATACCAGGTCAGAATTTTGCTATTGGTATACATCATACACCTATACAAGCTACGTACGTACTAAGAATTATTTTATTTGCAGGAGGGTCTCCTAGATATAGACATGGAGTTCTCAGATGGGAGTCGCACAGCACTGCGGGACGTAGACGTGTCGGATTATTACTTGGTAGTGGAAAGCCTTGATCCTGAAGTAGTCGCGTTTGCTCCAATGCTGGCCTCTAAACACCCAAGGGTTATTGCCGTTGGTGAAGGTACGTTTATTAAGTTCATATCTTATTAGGAACTTGGTCTGTTTCATAAAACTACAACAAGTCAAAAATTTACAAAATCAAAAGACCTGGGTACTTAGGACTAGGTCTTTGTCTATGTGTGTGTGCCCATAGCACCCGCGATACAGGGTTTCCCTAGTGCGGGGCTATAAGTGTGTTAGTTAGTATTATTATTTGCATTATACCTTACTACATTAATATTATAGCTACTTACGTACATACATATAGTAGCTACGTACTTGTATAATAAAATAAATAAGAGAAGGAAATCTATCCACTCACAAAACTCAACTGCAAAAGAGTTATAATTATTAATACAAAGATCGAACACTCAGAAAAATTTCCTTCGATCCGCCAGGACTGGTAGCTGTAAAGGTACTATCTGGGTGATAAAGCTTTCATAGATTTCTCATAGATGGCGCTACGACTAAAAAGTAATTGAAAAACCAAATACACCAAACCAAATACACCAAACCAAATACACGACGCAAGCACATAGAAAAATTCGTGAGGTCCGCTGGTTCGTTCCGTGGCTTAGTTGGTATAGCGTCTGGCACGGTAAGCTAGAAGACGTCGGTTCGAATCCGGCCGGATCGAAGGAATTTTTCTGAGTGTTTGATCTTATAATTATAACAAACTAGTGGAGTCATTTCACAAAAAATAATTGAATATCAATTATATAAAAAATTAAAATGCATAAGAGTTGTCACTAATTATCTTAAAAATCTAAACTACGTTGAAACTGAAAATCTCTTAATTGTTCGAACTTAAAATTATTATTAGTATCAAATTAAATACTGTATTCTTTCTTTATGGCTAATTCCGCAGAAAAGTTTACACACACACACACACACACACACACACACACACGCACACGCACACGCCCACGCCCAAGCCCAAGCACACGCATACGCACACGCACACCTACACGCGCACGCGCACACACACGCGAATACACACGCACACACGCACACACACACACACACACACACACAGGCACAGGCACGCGCGCACACATTCACGCACACCCGCACGCACGCACGCGCGCACACTAACAACACACACACACACATTCACCTCACGCCTAAGTCTAGTACTGTTCACTAAGATTATAGTTATCTAAGTTCAAAAATATACTTACTTTGGTCCGGAGTGTGGAGGGGCTGGTGATCTGTAATACAGGTCTCCTAGTACGGACTAATGATGTAACATTATTTAGATACGTGAATACTGTATATTGTAAGACTTTGTGAGAGAACAATAAAGATTATTATTATATTATAGCTAGTAACTACTTATTTGAAAAGGATCATAGTGACCAGTAAATTTCTTGGTAGACATTCTATCAACCTTTCGACTTGCAGGCAGTGGAGAACTTCTGCGTGTAACATTACTAACGCCTGAGCAATGTCGTTCTGGACCTCTGCGGCGCGTAGCTCTACCCGGCAAAGGCGATGCGAAGACCCCAGCTAACATCAAGAATATTCCTGGAGCCTTAGCGACTGCGGCTGCAAGTGTAGATGTGGACTTCAGCGGAGGTGACGCCCCACAACGACCAGATACACCACAGAATGATGATATTATGGCTAGAGGACAGATACATAGTGATATCTATAAAAGTAAGTACTGAAACCAAAAATAAAAGTAAACAATGCAAGTATAATAATTTCTCACGAGGAAAGAACAGTATTTCTACCACCTTTATACTACTATAAAACTACTCATGGAAACTAACCAGGTGAAGCTAGCTACTACGAATTATTGAAAATAAATTATTTCTACTTTGTTTTGTAGTATTCTCGCCAATGAAGGACGAGAACAACCATGAGCCGACGGTGCAAGCGCAACAGTATGGGTCCATCTTCAAGAGCATACAGTCACACAACCGGCACGTGCCTGCGCACGCTAATAGTATTTCGACTGTTGAAATCGGTTTGTATTTCTTATTAATATCTCAGAACTGCCACGTACCAGATTCAGATGCATTCTAAAGTTCAAGTTTGTACATTTTGTACCTTTGCATTTCTTTAGTTTTTTTATTGAATTGATATTCAATTATTTTTTATGTGAAATTACTCTAGGTACTAGTTCGTTATAATTTTTAATACAAAGATCGAACAGTCAGAAAAGAAACATTTAAAAAAATTCCTTCGATCCGGCTGACCAACCAACCAACCAACCAACGTCTTCTAGCAAACCGCTATGCCGACAAAACTTAAATATTCTTGTTGCAGGAATGTACGTTTTACTGGGAGCCTTCTGCTTTGCCATCATGGTAAGTAGAATATGCTACTTTAAATAGGTACTTAAGTAATGACTAATGAATAACAATATTTTTTACCTGATCTGTTTACAGTGTTTAAAATTTATTTCCCAATATTACAGGTATTCGTGGTATCTTGCGTAGTATACGCTGCTAGAATGAAGCCAATGCGAACGGAGGGTGGCGTCGCCGCAGGTAGGCTTATGCCGAGTGTGGTGGAGGGTGGCCGGTTGCAAGTAGCCGGCCTAGTTGGGACCACCCTTGGCCTCGCCAGGGAGAAACCGAACAAGGAATCTACTACCAATGCACACGATTGGGTTTGGCTAGGTAAGACAGACGTTTGCTAATAACAATGGTTAGTAGCAATAGAGCTCCTTGTGAAAGAGTTCGTCCAGGGTAGTGCTGCCATCTTATCCGCCTCCGTGGCCGAACGGTTACCATGTCGGACTGCCACGCAGAGGTCCCATAAGGTTAGAGGTTCGATTCCCGGGCCGGGAGAAATATTTGTATGGTCTACACTTATTTCTCTTCTACACTTATTTATCTCGTGAGTTTGGGTGTAATTTGTGGTTGTCGATGTGTGTGTCCATGACACACGCGACACAGGGTTTCCCTATTGCGGGGCTATATTGAGTGTGTGCGTTTTTTTAAACCTATTCTGCCGCCAAGCAGTAATGTGAGCATTAGTGTGTTCCGGTTTTGAAGAGTAAGGGTGCTGGTGAAATTACAGGCACATGGGACTTGTCAACTTATGTGTCAGGGTGACGGGCGCAGTGGTAGTGCTCCTCAGATCTTTGCAATTTAAAGCTATGAGTGGCACTGTAACTGTTATGTACAGGCGTGTAGCTTACCATCAGGCACAAGACTTATTCGTCCCGTCAATTGAATTTATAAAAAAAAATTATTAATTAACACTTTATTTTGCCTTTGCCCCCTTTGCCCACTATACTTTGAACTCTATGACACGTATTAACACAATAAATGTACTTACGTATATAAATAGGGCTACAAGTACGTTTTAACCGTTTCTTTCAGGTCGGGCGACAATAGAAAAGAACGGCAACCGCCACGCAGCATTAACCAATCGCAACTCGACGCAACCCGACAACGGCAACGAGATGAGAATCACGGCCAATCCTCTCAATTACAACTACGTCGACCCTGAGGACGCGATCCGCGACAACGGAAATGTAATGGTGACAAGTTTTGACAACCCCAATTCGATCGAACTGCCGTCGCAAAACGACAGATGTGTAATCGATACTACTACATACAGCAAGAAATTGCCACGACACACGCGCCAGCATCCAGGAGATGGAAATTGGCAGTAAGTAACTAACGGTTTACAATATGAATGTAAATTAAAAGCAATTTCTAACAGCTCTCATATGTAAAAGTGTAATTCTACCAATTACATAAAACTTAAAATTATAATTTTAAAATAATACCTAATTCAAATAAATCACCTACTCTCGTACAAAATGATGACCTTTTCAGAATGTTTCTGCGTCTACCAATTACAATGATAATTGTTTGTAAGGTATAATTTACACCTTTCGGTCTTTAGGACGGAGTCCAACGGCCAAGATGACTACCGACCCCCTGTACCTCCACATCGCAACCCTTCGGCCCCACAACCTCAAATTCCTATCCCACCACGAAATCCAAACAAAGTAAGTAAACCTAACAATGTACGGTGAGATTAAATAAATGTACCATAATTATGGAACAAAATGTTTTCTACTGAAAAAAACTGCAATTTTGTCCAGATTTTGCCAGAGGCCGTCATGCCTCCCACTAGACGGAGCCACTCCCGGAGTCACCACAAGAAGCATGACCGCGAGCACGATTTTTCCAAAAGATCACCAGAAAATGCCCGTCGCTCGGACCGGTAACTTTCCATCTTATTCCCATTTCCTCAAATATTTACTGAAAAAATTAAAGTGCCTAATTGTCGTATTAAATCTTTATCGTTTTTCAGAATTATTGATTTAAACAAAACCGAGTCCCCATACGTATCAAGCCGAGACATGAAAGATTACCGTCGCGATTCAAACCCGATTCTGCACCGTAGTGACTTAGAAGACAACCCCGTAGAGAAACTTACTAACAAGGAGGACTGCGCACGACTCTTCGAATTCGACAATGATGCACCTCTCATCATGGAGAATAAGGACTATCGGGAGATAATAGGCCTCAACAGAGGCACCGATGACTCCCGACGGACCTTCGCGAAACCGCAAAGCCCGGACTACATGCACGACTCTGGAATAGGTATATATTGCTAGTAAATTGTTTGCTTTTCATCTTGTCCATTACACACACTATGGTCAAAACTTGATGCTGCCGAGATATCGTAGCATTTTAACGGTCTGTTGAATACTAATACGGGAATCAGAAAAGCAGTGTGAGATGGGACGACGCCTCTACCCCGAACACTCTATTTAAGTGTGACGTACGTCAGGATGGCCTTACCTCTCCGAACTTTTTCAATCTCTACGCCATTGATATGATCGAGGGATCTGAATGGCATTATATCTGCGTCGAATATCACGTTCAAATTATGTACTTGTAATCATTCGACATGGCGCTTCTAAGCCCTTCTATGGTGAGAGTTGCGCCGACAATAGGCCATCAACTTTGCCCTTACCAATGTAATGAATTACAACACCAAAAGAATGCCAGTGGTGTTTAAATCGGGCAAAGTACCGGAGAGGATCACACTATTGCTACTGAGTAGTTACATAAAAATTAAGTTACAATAGTGCTAATAAAATTTACAAAGTACTCGCATGGTATCCAAGTTATGTTATTGAAAGTTTTGTGCAAATGCCTCTACACATGTCAACTGTGTGACAAAATACATAAGAGGACCCTTTTGAGTACCGTGCAATGTTGATTTTTTTTCGTCATGCTGAAATTGTCAAGACATTGCAGTGCCAAGGTGTTTAAAAAGTAGTAGGATCTATCGCCTGTTTTTAGCAGAGGACGCACTTTTGGCGGTTGTTGCCACTGCAGTAGGCAGTTCCATAAATACTGGCTAGACATAGAAACTAAATCGTCTTGCATTTTATGTTACTACTATTTTATTAATAACTTAACTATCTTACTTTTTATTTTATATTGTAAACTGCACGCTACAAACTAAAAAAATTAATTTTGAACCTTTTAATTATCAATTTTTAATTTCCTTAATTTTTTTAGGTTTTTATTAGGTTTTATTAAATTTTATTTTATAACTAAAATTTTAATTATTTTTTAAAAATTTTATTTAAGTTTTATTAGGTTTTTGTATAAGATTGTCTTTTTGTATAAGAAATCTTTTTTTTTTGTGCTTGGTACTTGGTGTAACGGGCTGGTATCTAATCTATCTTTTTTTTTTTATTAAATTTTTATTATGTATTCGTCTTAGCTTTTTAATTTTTTTATTACTTTTTGTCTTTGTTGTATTGTTATAACTTCCTATTTACCAACACTTGTTACAGGCATGCCTGATGTACAAATGAGACACAAGAACCGATCCAAAGAATCAAACAACGCCAAACCGGATTTCGTCGAAGCTTCTAACCCAAATAAAGGTAAAACTCATCTAAGTACCTACGGTATTCATTTCTTATCTGCTATTTGTAAATAGACACTTATCGGCAAACGTGTGATCGTAGCAGGTAGCAGTTCGCCGGAGGTTAAGCGCGCCACAATTGTAGGTAACCCGATGTATTCCCGAAGTGCAACCGGGACTGAGGGAGAGTCTGGGCCCGAGGCACTCGGCCTCGACGACTTACACATGGACTACGACCAGATCATGCACTATTTCCACAACCTCAAGGTATAAACAGCCACACCGTCCCACGCTTCTAGAGTAGATGTTGCTGTGTCACTTGCGTCGATACCCGACGACACCGGCCGCGGCACGTCACGGCACACATACTCATCTCGATGTCCAATGTATCTCTTATGAATAAATAGAGCTACGTTTTGACGCGTTTAGAAGTTTAGCTTAACATTTTATAAGAATACTTACATTTTATACGAGTATACAAATGATGCCAATAAACACTACAATTCTTAATCACTCTGTAAGAATGTCATCATGCCACAGCCCGTAGCTATTTAAAATTTTAACACTTTACTCTGTACACTTTACTGTTTTCACTTTTCACTATTCTCATGATGAACTGTCATTAGTCATTTCCTGTTTTCCATTGAATTTAGAAAGCTAGATGGCAGCTGTGTCTTCACTAATATAATAGATCCGTAGAACGTGGAAGTCATTATATCTAGAAATTCTAAACTTCAATTTTAATTTTGCGGCGGCGCAATTTGACTCACGTATATTTTAAAATTTTTCGCAGGAATCAAACGCCTGAGTAGAGCAGATCATTGCAAAGATCCGGCAGATATTGTCAACGTTTAAGTATCAGCATATCATCAAAGCTCCTCCAATCGACGCATACAATGCACGGGCTGATATATCCGCCCCCGCGGACCCTGAGGATACTACCATTGACGCGCACAACAACAACTTCTCTGACAACGCGCACGTATACGAGAATTTTAGCAACCGCAACATCATCGCCCCCACCAAACTGCTCTGCGAATCCATCGCACACAAAAATAACTTCATGAAAACCCAACTGAAGTTCTTATTAGAGCACTTGAGTGAAGCCTACGAATAATTTGTTGTTAGTGGTCAAGGTATTATCCTCAACATTAATACAATATATGTCTCAATGTGGATCCTTGCAGTGATCAGAATCGAAAATATACAAAATGTAACTGTTTTATACCAACCTAAACTTATCGGTAAACGTATTTACTCTAGTCAACAACAAAGCTGCACATATTTAAGTACTCATACATAATAATAGTTGTGTGCAAGTAGGTAATACTCATATGTCAATGATATTATATTAATTAGATATTATATAAACGTGTACACGCGATGTCTGTATATTGATATATAAACTATTCGGGCTAATTGAATAAGTAAGCTAAATTATTGTCTAAATACTTGAGCATCTAGCTGTGTTGTTTACTACATTATAGTAATCTTAAACCAAATACAAAAAGTTTGCATTTGTCCTAGATGTGTACATATTTTTCCATTAGAAGGTAAAACTGCTACCTCACTTTTGTCTAACTTATTATAGCTTAGGTAATGTCTAAATAATGTTTGTCATGATTTTAAATATTTCTGCAACGTTTCTAGATATTGTGTACATAATTATTTTGTATCATTCCACTTAGATTGCAAATTGATTTTTTGTCTACAGTGAATAGATTTTAAGACTGCGAAATGCCAGTGTTTAGGGTAATAATCATAGTACGGTAAGCTTAGTATAAGATACACAACTAGTCAAATTTATATTGAGCAATAATTGCTCAAAGTACATTATTTTGTTCTTTATTAACCCACGATTTGTAACAGTTAAGCTTATCAGCTTTAAAATGTTCCTCTATACCACCGTTAATTGTAAGTTTGAATTGGTTGTTTTAAGTATTTATCCCTAAATATTAGTATCATACTTTTTGCAATTTTGCTTGCTAGCACAAAGGACAGTTACATTTAGAGTTGTCCTTAAGAGACTTTAAGATATTCTAAAACATCCATTAGTTTACAGCAAATTTTGAATAAAAAGAAGTTTGATCTTGTGATAAAATAAACGACTGCTACAGATTGATTCAACGGCAATCAGTCTTATAAAGCCATATCATATACAAAACCTAGCGCTTGTATAATATTGTAAACACTATAAACAATATATTAATTTATTGACAATGTAAATTGCATTTACTTGTAAGTTAGTTCCTTAGGCTTTGTAAATATTGTTATGACGTTATATAATTTATAGGTATTTGTGGAGATGACATTGCAGAAATAGGAAATAAATATGGTAGAGATGCTTATTACGGATGGAGTAGATTGCACACGTATGACGAAATATTACAGTTGTACACTAAATAGTAAATGTTTTGATCTTGTAATTGTGTATTATTGTGGACCTATATTTATAATAGGAGCAAGTACATGTCAGTATTTTATATTGTAAGAACTTAGAAGTGCAATGTTGGGCAAAATGTTTCTTGTGGCCTATTTAGTACATACGATCTTTCAACATGCTCAACTATGCCTAATTGCACATAGTAAAATATTGGCTATGTATCATGGGCTTTTGTCGTTAGGTTAGGAATGAGTCACAGGATACCAAGTAATCTATGCTGTAGTATTTGTTACTATAAACTTTGTTTTTGTTGAGTTTTTGCCATAATATATAAAGAAGTTTATGAATAATTATTGCTACAAGGTATACATGTATGCAAAATGAGGCTTGTCACGGAAATCCTTTCATAAAAATGTCAAATTTAATAAACTATTATTAAAGATACATTGTGTTTTATTTAAATATATACGTACTGATTATCTATGGTGTGACGGGCTCTATTCCAGAACTCAACATCTTGTGGGGCCATTTTGGATGGTACTAATATATATGTATATTAAGAACGGACAAAAGACACAAATTTGAAACGTGAATTCTTAATCTCTACATAGTACGTTTTTTATTATATCATAATTGGTCTAAAAATGTTACTACAAATATTTTCCACACCAGCGATGGTCAAATGGTGAAAGCATCTTATGACACCCACCCATATTGTTCTGTATGATATACTTCATAGTGTATTTGTTCTGATTGTTTTCCTCTTCCCACTTTTCTTGAGCTGCTTTTTGCTCCATAATCTCTTCAGAAACGGCTTCAGCTTTAAAAGGTAACCTCTCTGCTACTATTCTCAGCATTGTATGTACCTAGGAGATAATCAAAACATAATTTTTAATATACTATATAGTAGAAATAGAAAACAATAATGTATTAATTAATTCGAATTTGGGATAAAAAGTTTAGTTTATTTGAATAACTATAATAATAATTGAAGATTAGAACGTATGTAGTTATATGTATTTATAATAAGATAATGTAACGCGATGCGCGCGAGCTCGAATACTTTCTCGACCATTGGCCAATGCTAAACATCTACCGCCTCTACAAGACGAGGTCTCCGAGAGGCAGACACAAACGGCAAAAGGTTGATAGGCCCGCGCAACAACGCACATACGCAGAGGTCACCAAGCCAAAATTGATGGCGGTGATCACCTCGGCCAAAACTGGCTACATACGGAGCCCCGATGCCGACTCAGGTTCGGCGCAGGCATCAGAGGAGGATGTCGGCCCACAATTTAGGGGTAAACCTGTCTACAGTGACGGATCCCTGAAACTGGTGTCAAGACACAGCCACATTCCAGTGGCTAGAGGGCGCCATTAGCACCATCAGGCTGCCATCCAGGGAGCCCCTCTCACTAAAAAATGGGTTGAAGGCTCCCCGCAGGATGGTCGGCGGTCTGCTTATCCCTCGCCTTTGGGAGGATGCGCGCCGAATTGATCGCATCCTCAAGTAGCAAAACCTTTGGATGGAGGCGCACCGCTGGTTTGTCCACAAGCTGCAGCAGCAAAGTGGACATACCTTCGTGGTGGTGAGGCTCCCCAAAGAACTGGTCCCTGCTGTCCTAGTACGACTGGCGTTTCACTTTTCAGGTAGTTACGGTCTACCTCAGGTTCAGATCGAAAAGGGGCACGTGTACACGGATGCGCCGCCTGAGAAGGGGGGAACAGGCAATGCACCGATGGATATTTCCCTCGAGCCCTTCACCTCCACTGTCATCCCCAGAGAAGAAAAAGGCCTTCCCTAACCCGCGTCTGCGGACGCCACTGATAAACTGGTGGCGGCTAAGAGTGATGAAGAGTGCGTGTCGGGGATGGGAGACATCCGACCGAGGACGAGGAGCTGCTGTCTGATGGTGGTTGCCCTCGCTCAGTAAAGTACAAATCGTCCAAAGCCACCTCGACCATAGTCAGACCGTAACGGTCAGCAGCAGTCAGCTCCGGAAATGGTTGGAGACAAACAACACAGCCGTGGCACTGATCCAGGAACCGTAGATCAGTGCCCGCAGCCAAATAAATGGACTCTCACATCAGAGAGGTAAGCTACTATCCATCCTACCATCTCAGATGAACCACAAACTTGCATATATTACTCTAATAATTTATATGCACAGCCACTAATGGAATTCTGTTCAGAGATCTAAGTGCTGTTAAGCTCTTAGCTGACGCGGCCATGGGCCTGCCTGAAGCGGTGCTCGCCTCTATCTATATGGCGGAGACTAATGTACCACCACCGCAGGAAATGGAATGGCTAATCAAATACTGCAATCAGAACAGCCTGCATATCGTCAGAGCTACTGACGCCATTGGCCACCATCTGTTGGGTGTGGAACTTGGTAGCAGTACAGCTCCTTGTGAAAGAGTTCGTCCAGGGAAGTACTGCCACCTTACTTATTTCTGCTCCCAAGCAGTAATGTCAGCATTACTGTCTTCCGGTTTCAAATGGTAAGGGTGCTCGTGAAATTACAGGCACATGGGACTTGTCAACTTACATATCAGAGCAACAGGCGCTGTGGTAGTGGCCCTTAAATCTTTGTGATTTAAAGCTCTTAGTGGCCCTTCAACTGATAACAGTCCATAAGGACAGGCGAGTAGCTTACTATCAGGCGCATGACGATAATATTATTAAACAAAAATAACTCGCAAATGACACCACACGCAAAACAGGCGCCTCGACGTAGAGTCGTGGACACCAGTCTGTTACACCAAGGACCAAGTAACACAACGCTTGTCCACACACTGCACATTGGACCTTCTCAAAACGACAGTGGTTACAACTGGAAACTCTCCGTCATCCACAATACTCACCGGGCTTTGCTCCAACTAATTTTTGTTATTTTTCAGAATTTGGAAAAGGTATTAAAGGGAAAAAAAATCTGATTAGGTGGAAAATGCCTACAAACAGCTCATCGATTTCCATCCCCATGATTTCTATAGCAATTATGGCCTCAATGAACTTCCATTAAAATGCCAAAACAAACAAACCAAACAATAATGGCCATTACTTGGGATCAAATGTATATTTTTCATTAAGCACTTTTATTTCAATTCTCTTTATATAAAAGTGCAATTTCATAGATAAGGACCTAATATTTAAAAATGTATCATACCTCTGCATATTCACATTTGCCTCCAACTTCAAGTATAATCCGGCCTGCTTTGATAGGTGTGACATAATGGTCAATAGCACCCTTACCTCCCCCCATACGCTGGCCCTGACCTTTCTTAGTCACAGGTTGCCATGGAGGTTCTATTCTCCAGATGGCAAACATTCTCTTCTGGTCCAACCTTCTAGCTACTTGAAGACGAGCCATTTCAAAATGCTCATGTTTCATTCTGCCTCCTCCTGTGGCCTAATAAATAAAAAATAGAAGAAATAAATAAGGAATTGTAAAAATATATTCTCTTATATGTGTCAAAATACAAAGGAACAAATAAAAACTAAGCACAAAGTCAGTACTCTAAGTAAAATTACAGTTCTCATTATGTACAATTTTTTTTTTTTATTAATTGTGATAAATAATCAACAGCATTTCTAAAGGGAAAATAATAAATCAACTAAAGAACACAATTAATATTTTACTAATATTTTACAAGAACAAATTTTTGATAAAAATTAGGTTGTCTCACACAATAGTGTTAAAATGTTAGTGTCCATGTTTTATCTATAAATATAATATAATAAATATAATATTCTATTCTAAATAATTTAAAACAATTTTAATATAAGTCATAGTTTGATTGGTTAATCAAATATTTAATTGTGACACAAATCACCTATAAATAAATAAATATTAAAGTACTAATACTTTAAAGATATTCATAGAAAACAAAACTTACAACAATTCCATATTGCTTTAATTGTAGAGTATTGTGTAAGGGCTCAGGTCCACGCATGTACCTCAATCTCTTTTGCATCTTAGGTGGCTTCAAATTGGGTGGATATTGAGGCACCTTGTCATACATGCGCAGTCTTTGACGTTCGGGTATTTCAATATCTAAAAATTACAAATAAGTAAGTGACTTATAAGTAAGAAACGAATTCGTTTTGGTAAGAACAGTTTATATACTAAAAATATGTTACTTACGATCATAGTTTTTAGGTGGCGGGAAATACTTTAAACCCGATACGCTCGTTACCTGCAGCGCGTCAGGTCTCAGAAGACCTTAAAAGGTATACATTTTTAAGTAAATTTCATAATTAAAACTACAAATCTATTACCGTAACAAATACGTTACTTACTTAGCGTAAAACACAGCCTTTTAGACAGCATATTGTAAGATTCGAAAAAGAATTTTTGGTCACGGAAATTGTCGACTCCAGTGAGATCTTAGATATTTTCTTGGATGTACATTTTTCGTTCGAATACAAAAATGAGGTTAAAAATGAAAATCGACCGTACAAACTGTCTATATGACAACTGTTACATACTATGATTAAAAAAGTAATACCTAGCTCGAGTTGACTCGTGGTGGGAGTAATTCGAGTAAAGTTAATAGAGCTGAATAATTCGACTCACCCATCGCTGATGTGCATTCCTCCCTCCCTACACAAAAAATGTTGTGTGGGATTGCGTCATCTTAAAGTTACAAGCACAGTTTTTACAAAGATTCTTTTTATTTTAAGTACATTATGAAGAAAATGCGAAAAAAGAAGTAGTGATGAAGAAAGTTAGAACTATATTCCGTATTTTAAATCAAACTACAAAAGATTTTGTCTTGAAAATTTTACTAATTATATTAATGTGTATAACAATAAATGTGATTTAAGTGAAAGTGAAAACGTAAATATTGACTCCCGCCGCATAGAAGACTATTTAGTAAACCCAAATAAGAGAATTAAGAGAAAGTGAAAACATAATGTATTAGAACTGAAAGAAACATTGCAAAAAGTAATGCGATGTGAAACGTCACGTGAGATGTGGCTTTCCACAGTTTCACAGGTTTTATGATGGAGCAAAGGAAGACAAAAGCTATGATCTTTGTATAGGTTCTTCCGCTATTAAAAAAGCGAGGAGCAAGATATGGCCACACATATTTCGACTCTCAAAAATATATGGTATGATTTAAACACCGAAATAGAAGGAAATGATCTTCCAGAGATTTATTGATATGTAAAATACTAGATACTCTTCCTGAGCAGTATTTCAGTTTCAAATCTAGCTGGCTATTTTTAATGAATAAGAGTGATCGGAATATTGAAAATCTCACGACGCAGATGTACTCATGAAAGAGCTCTAACAAATGCTAGTGAAAATGACACTAAGGTTGAAGCACTTATGCTGAAGTATCACAGCGTTCTGTAATCTGTCTCAAGACACTGTGTTTGAATCTCGAACTAAAATATGTGTTATGAAATTTGAAGAAGGGCGAGATCCATCGATTGAAAAAAGAGATGCACATGGAGGCCTGTACAAACTAATGGCTACAAATGTTAGAAGTCCTCGTGAGATCAATCTCTTAGATAACTCCAACATGATTCAATTATATCACGAACGTTTAGGATACCAGAACAAAGCAAATGTGAAAAAGATAATTGAGAAAGAGCTAAGTGTTAACGCACGCGACAAAAAAGCGCAGCCGGCCCGCCTCCCGCACTTCGCCTCGCATAGGAGCTGTCATTTTTATTCTCACTCTGCGAGAATTAGACCATCAAACGCTCATTGTTTTAAATATTCTTCTTTTTTGTATTCATTTTGATTTCTAAGTATATTACATTCAGCATCTTGAAAACGAACAGAAGATCTTTCTTTTACACCCTGCATTCCTGCGTAAACAAGTGGTCCTTCGAGCCGGATAAATTCAGAAACGCGCACGCAGCAGCGCCAGCGCACGCCATTTTGTACAAGAAAGGAAATCTGTGAGTTCGTTCCAATCTCTACCCATTTACATCCCAAATCCCACACATTTTTGCATTCACGCAGTCAATTCGCATTGCATTCGCGCAAAGTCAGTTGCGTAATAAATCTCAAGTGTGTTGTGTTTGCACAACCACATTTTGTATGTTCATTGAAATGTTCATTGAAATCGTCATTTAATTCGTTGCAATCCCGCAATCGATATACCTTTTGGTATATATGTGTTCGCACATTATGTATGCTGTGATTCATATAAGTCTTCATAAACTTAATCACAACACCCAATTCGTAAAGTTCTGTTAATGACTATAATCTTGTTTTTTAGCACAATCCATGTATTGTTTGAGGCATTCACAGCTTCAGTGATTAGCAATAAGCATTTGTGTAAATTTTCTGGCTGATATGCTGTACATTTACTCATTCATTCACAGTTGATGATCGCTTGCTGTCAAGCTTTGGGCGGCGCTCTTCCTATTAATTTCCCAGCCTGTTGCGCTTGTGCTGGTCCAGCTCAGAACGTGGGATGCTCAAATCAGCTGGCTTTTAAACAGAAACTAACGCACGGCGGTTTTTTGTCTGCACGCATCCAAGATTAATATAATTTATTACTACATTTTTAATTTATCATTGCATTTGGATTGTCCCAATTTTTTTCAAATTAATTGGCATGCACCATTTATCTTTCAGTTCTCAATACAAAATTTAAATAAGATAAGTATTGCTAGATTTAATATATTTTTTTTTAAATGACAGTTACGATGCGAGGCGAAGTGTGGAAAGCGGGCCGGCTGCGCTTTTTTTTGTGCGTTAGCACTAGGCATAAAACTGAAATTAAATTCAGAGTATTGTGAAGGATGCATTTTTGGTAAAGCCCATCGATTCAAATTTGGCACAAGAGAGAGAGAGAGCGACATGCCCAGGAGAGATGATACACGCTGACGGCCTTTTTAGATTTTAATTTTCCAAGTACAGATATTTCGTACTGTTTAAAGATGACTTCACTCAATTTCGCCAAATCTATTTTCTGGAAGAAAAAGGAGAAGTACACGAGAAACTTGATGAATGTTGGCAGAGACAAAAACTACTGGACAAATATGTATCTCTTGCACAATAGTGCAAGAGATACATATTTGTCACTGTCACTGAGTATCTCTTGCACAATAGTGCAAGAGATACTCAGTGACAACAGTTTACGACGATGAAAACGATAAAATTTGTGATGAAGATAACATCTTTGACAAGTCCATTGATTTACGCAGAGAAATTGACACAGAGTTAGGAAGTGACGATTATCTCTCTGCACATGATGTAGAATCTGAAGGCTTGAGAACACTGAGACCGAGAGATAAAATCGAACTACCTACTAAGTTCAACAACTATGTTATGAATGTTGCTGATAATATAGAGCCTGCAAATTTAGAACCAAAGACATTCAAGGATGCAATGCTTTATCCTGACAAAAAATAAATGGATTGAAGCTATGAGTAATGAGTTGAATTCTCTTAAAGAAAATGACACGTGGGAAATGGTACCATTACCTAAGAATAGGAAAGTCATCCCATGTAAATGGATCTACAAGGTAAAGACTAAACCCGACGGTGCTATCGAGAGATACAAAGCCCGATTGGTAACTAAAGGGTTTACTCAAAAGAAAGGACTCGACTATTATGAAACATTTGGTCCTGTTGCTAAGACAAGCACTATAAGAGCCTTGCTGATTGTAGCCGCTAAAGAGAAAATGAAGCTAGCACAATTTCATGTGTCAACTGCATTTCTCTATGGCATCTTGAACGAGGAGAGATACATGAAGCCACCAGAAGGCCTGACTGATAACGACTGTAAAATGGTATGCAAACTTAAGAAAAGCCTGTATGGGTTAAAACAAGCAACGAGGTGCTGGAACGCTTGCATTACCGAATATATAATACAAATTGGTTTTCAACAAAGTTCTGCACATCCGTGCCTGTTCACCAGAGCAGGCAAGGAAGGTGAGAAAATAGTTGTAATATGTCGATGACGGATTGGTAGCTGCATCTGAGGAGAAGGGAGTGAAAAATTGGTACGAAGAGCTCAGAAAAAGATTCAAAATTACTACTAAGCCTGCGTCATACTTTCTTGGCATAGAAATAAAGTGTAATGACGATGGATCTATCAAAATAGATCAGAAGCGCTATGCGAGAAAAGTTTTATAACGTTTTGGTATGACAAACTGCAAGCCCGCACCAACTCCGATTGTAAAGGATATTCGAAGAGTAACGACAACTGAGAACCAATGTCAGTTCCCATATCGTGAAGCAGTAGGTGCTTTATCGTATCTTATGGTAGGTACAAGACCAGATATGGCATTCGCAGTTGGAGTCAAAAGAATATTTCGCTACGTTAGAGGTACAATGGAGTACGGCATTACATACAGAGGTAATAATAGATACATTGTTACGTATACCGATGCTGATCTTGGAGGTGATCCAACCACAGGACGATCTACATCAGGGATGGTCTGCGTGTTTTCCAGTGGAGCTATCTCCTGGCAAAGTCAGTGTCAGAAAACAGTAGCACTTTCATCAAGCGAAGCTGAAATTGTAGCTGCAAGTGAAGCTAATCGCGAACTACTGTGGCTGAAGCGAATAATTGAGCACATAGCTATGGAGGTGCAAACCATAGTGTTGTTGCTGATTGCTAGTGAGCCTGCTCTAAAACTTAGTATGAACCCTATAGAAAGGCACCACCTCACGAAACACATGCACGTTCAGAGGCGGCACTTCTTCCTTCGAAAATGTTTACTAAAAAATAAAGGGAACATTAATATGTTCGCTAATGCGCGGAAAGTGCCATCGAAGAAGAATATAGCTAACAAGATTACAAAGCCACTGTACAAGCCAAGGCTCTTCTATCTAATGGAATCAATAGGTCTCCAGTGAAGAGGAGAGGGAATGTTAAGAAGGATTTCTAACTAGTTTTTTATTCTTCTATGTCAGTCGTTCCATGTCATCTGTTATACACTTCAAAACAAATATACCGGGTGTCCGGTAATGAATGTATCATACTGAAATGGCTTACAGCACAGCTTAAGACTGTTCCAAAAAAAATGCAAAAAAAATTATATCCCATGTAGTACCTAAGGAAGGGTTTTTTTTCTTAAAAGTTAATTATTTTTACCTTATTTTAGGTTTTTGTGCTCTATGACTACAAATGAATGAATTTATTTGGTTTTTTGGTGTCATAATATTCTACGTTAACTGTGTCTTTAGATAAGCAGTAAATGGTATGACTAAGTAATGTATATTTAAAAAAAAGTTTCACTTCATTTTTCAGAGAAAAAATTTATTTTTTACGAAGTTTACGCGCCTTCTGTATAAAAAAAAAAGTACGAAAACCTGTGTGGCCAAGTACTTTAAAATAATTTCGCTTTAATGAGGATTCCAAAATGGTATCATTTCTCATTGTATCTATTGTAAATATGAAATTATTGCTATTAATGTGCAAACGAAGTAAATTTTACTAAAACACTATGTTTGCAAAATTGGAACATTTCTTATCCTGAATTGTTCTTGACTATTGAGTT